ATGAGGGTGGAGAGAGGCACAGGAAGACATTTAGGGGATTTTTGCGAAGTGGAAGCCAATGTTCTGTGCGTGAGCAGCGCGCGGGGGCAGCGCCGAGACGCTTGATCCGACTCGTACCGACAGTCACCGGCAACCCGTGGCTCTGGAGGGAAAGGGCTGAAAGGAAAACAGGGTAAAAATTAGGTGAAGGGAGGAAGGTTGGCAGGGAAACAGGTGGCTGCGAAGTGGAATACAAATTAAATTCCCTTAGTGTAATCTCTTGCGATGGTGCGGTGACCGAGGCTGGAAAGGGTTTGCCCGTGAGCGGCAGAAGGCGGGGGGACACCGGGACAAGGCTGGCTGCAGAGCAAACGCGAGGGAGCGGGTGGAGACAAGTTCTTGGGTGTAAAAAAATTGCAATTGTTGGAAAGAGCGCTAAGGAGGAGATTAAAAGGTCGGCAGTTCAGGAGGAACACAAAACCTTCACTTCTGTGACGCTGCAAAGAAATGTTCCTGCGGGTTTTGGTAGGGGTAGTACCTTTTTTTGTTTTTTTGCAGGGACACGGTGCCCATCTTTGAACAGGGGCTCTGTGTAACAGTGCTTGGTATCTCCAGCTCAGGCACTCTGGGTTTCCCTGAAGAAAGAAGTTCAATGGTAACACGTTCACCTCGCCCGTCGGGCTTTCCGTAGCTGCGGGCGCCGGGGCTGCGGTCGTTGTGCTCTCAGCAGGGTGAGCGTGAGAAGGCAAATTCCAGTGGCAGCACAAATCCACGGAGTTCATCACGGCAGCAGCGTCGGGGTGTGACAAACAGCTCCTCCCAGTGCGTTGGGTGGGTTGTGAAACGGTTCCTCCGGCGCTGGGCCCATGTGCTTTCCCGCCACAGCTCTCACCGCGCACTCGTCCGTCGCGAGGCTGTGCAGGATTGTGAGATGAGGAAGAAAGAGGGATGCCCCGTGCGAGTTGTCTTGTCCCCGCACAGGGTGCACTGGCTGTGGTGATGTTGCAGAAGTAGCTCCCGGCTGCTCATCCCACTTAATTTCAGGACTTGCGTTGCAGCGGTTTTTCCTCAGGCTTGTTTTCAAGGTTGCCGGCACAAAGCAAAAGGAGTTGCCTAATTTGAGCTCCAGAAGATGTCACTTAGGCCTGGCTTGTCGGAGGCAATGGGGGACGTTCACGCGCTTCTCACTGGATCTCAGATTTAGAATCACAGAATGCATTGGGTGGGAAAGGGAGCTTTACAGGCCGTCTGGTGCAAGGCCCTGCAGGGAGCAGGGACAGCTTTCCCTGGCTCAGGCTGCTCAGAGCCCCATCCAGCCTGGCCTTGGATGGCTCCAGGGATGGAGCCTCCACCACCTCTCTGGGCAACCTGTGCCAGAGTCTCCCCACCCCCAGAGTAAAGAACTTCTTCCCAACTTCTAACTTAAATCTACCCTGCTCTGGTTTAAAGCCATTGCCCCTTGTCCTATTGCTGACCTATTCCCAGTTTTAACCCATTTGTGAAACCAGTGGTCCAAGCTGTTGGCCTTTTCATAACCTTCTTTTAGTAGCAAAATCAGGACGTGTTTCCGAGGCAGGGCTGGCAGGCACACTGTACCTCGGTGGAACTACTGGTGGGTTTGTGCACTTCATTCCAAGACCACATCCAGTAAAAATCTTGGTTCAGGAGTGAAAATATCCTCTCTTGATCCAATAGGATATTATGATTTAGGTGAGGAAGTGAAAAGTGGATTTAGCTGGAATACTACATAGGACACTCGAGTGAGCTATTTACTCTTCAGGGGACTGAAATATTTTATTATTGGGCAACCAAGTGGAAGTAACGCTGCAGAAGTTTAGTTGGGTATGAAATATCTACTCTTACACAGCATTTCTAAACTGTTAGCCAAATGAAAGATAACAATGTTTTTTCCCCGTACCGTTGTTGAAGTGGCCAGTCTCAATCTCGGATTCTCCATAATGGGGTGTTGTTTTGTCAGCGAGGAGTAGATGCAAATCCATTTTGAAGGCAATTAGGCAGAGTATTTCTACTTCTGCTCACAACGAACTGCAAGCACAAAATCGCTAGCACAAGGCTGAAGGTTATTTACTAAGATTATATGCCACATGTGATTAATATCTTCCCCACTCTTTTTTTCTATTATTAGGAAAATTTTCAATTTGCAGGGGATCTATACAGAATTCCAAGGGCTCAGATGAACAGGGCTGAAAACACTTGTCACTGGTGGCTGTGCGTGCGGAATATGCTGCGTTAACCAGGTGCTGCTCAGCTGTTCTCAGGTAACCATCTCTCTGAAGTCGCGGCGACATCAGCTACCCTGAAATACTGCAGGTCAGCACATCCCAGAGAAGGGTAGGGCTGCCACGAGGCCATTTTCTCCTGCTGTTCTTCAACAGCGCTGCTCTAGAAAGATAACAAATGACAGAAAACTGCCCAATAGGTCTGCAGGGAACAAAAAGCCCGTTGTTTCCCTGGTGGAAAGGACTATGTGGAACATTGCTTTCCTCCCTGTACCCCCCGGCAGCTGTTGGCGATTGCTGATCAAGCTGTTGAGCTCTGCTTTGTCCTCCTCTGTGGCCACATGTCCTTGCCACTTCCCTTTTGGCCAGTCGCTGTGTTTCCAAAACTGCCCAAAGCGCAGAAGACAACCAGGTGAGAACACACGCGGAGCAGAGTTCTCAGCGCGGTCTGTCTCCACCCAGGAGAGCCGGGTCAATCCGAGCGTGTTCAGAAGGCAGACAGACCCCAGAGCTGTGGGTAACGGAGGGCAGGAGGTGGGGACGGGGAAGGGGACGAGCAGGATTGCTGTTCTGGAGGACAGCCCCGCGCATGCGGTGACTGGAGAACCGACCCCTTGGACCCAAAGCGACGTGTTCTTCTCCAGATTTGATGGGAGGCTCAGGTGGAGCACCGTGGGCTTTGTGTGACCTCCGTTACCGCGTATCCACGGTGTAGCTGTACAAGTGCTGAGGAGATGATGGAGAAGGGGGCTTGCTCTGCACCATCTGACACCTTGGTCAATTAATTACTTCCTAAAGGCAATTTTAGGATGCTGTGCAAGTCGAAGGCCATAATTTTGTTGTCAACCTTGTCCTCAGCGTCCTTTTCTCTGGAAAAAGTGGAGCGAATCTTCACTGCAAAAGAGATCTCAGTCTGGATTCACCATGCCTGCTCTTAATAGAGGCAGTTTTAAGGTTAGAATAGCCTATAGACAAGATGGTAATTATTGCTCTGAAGCTCTTCTGGAGAAGAAGGCAAGAAATTTCCCATTAACATCAAAAACAAATAGAGGAGAAGGTGGCAAATAAATGCTTCCACCACAGCACCTCTCCATGCTCTAAAGACACTTGCCTAATCCCAGCATCGAATTGTCACGTGATTCAAAATGTGTGAGGTCTTATGAACATATAAAAGATCGTGTATAGCAGCATAAATACTTGATTTAAATGCATAATTAATAGCTTCACCCAGCTTTGTGTTGAAATGCAAGATCAACAAGACATGTACCCAAGGAATGCACTGAAGTTTTTGCACCAAAGCAGCTCATTAGCGAAGCTGTCCCCATTCCCTTTCTCGCTTCTAGACAATTGGCTGACGGGGAAAAAGAACCTTGAAGTTCTTTCTAAATTTTGGGTGTGTCTTTTGACACATTTGAGAAGCTGGCGTGTTAAAAAAAACCTTCAAACAACCCCAAAACCCAGGCACATCCGTTATTTTAACAATGAGCTTTTACTTTGCGAGAACACGTTTGGCATGTAAAAACAAGATAAAAAGTTGCACGCCGCCAGTGGTCATAAAGTGTCGAAAACGCTGTGCTTGCTGCTCAGGTGTGTCGTAGGAACTCACCCTGCGGAGAGCGTCCACGCGTTCAGAAAAGACACCGTACAAAGCTGCTGCAGGTTCAGCTGTAAATGCTGCATTTGTATTTTTATACCCAGCGCACACAGAGAAACGCCGCTGCTTTCCCAGGTCTCGCACTTTGACCGTATTAATTCAGGAAAACGCTCGGAGTACTGGTTAATTTTAAGCCTGTGGAAAGTACAGTTCAGTATGGGGGCCAAACATACTACTTGCTTCTTCATTTTCCCTGCTCTAATTTCTGCTTTTGAAGGAAAGTTAACCCAATTCGCTTCTTCCTTTTTGAAATATACGCCAGGATTCGACTCTGTTACTCGAGTTTGGTAGCACTGAGTTGATTTTTTTTGTCCTAACTGATGGTAATGACAGCTAAATGTCAGCTTCATTTATATCTTAACTTCGACTATATGCAGAAAAGCATACAAAAACGAAAATGCTCTGTTAGGCACTCCGGGAATTACTTTTGCTGTGTACCTTATGCCAAACAGTTTTGATTCTGCCTGAGATTTACAGTCCAAAAAGCCGTACCAATACATTTTTCTGATTACATTATTTTCAATATCTTGCATCTAGCGCAGAGAAAACACTGCTATTAAACTAAATGCATACAAACGAGAAATTGGAACTTTGTTGAAACGTAATTCCATCAAGGAAAAAAACCCACAATATTTTATATAACATTTTGGATATATTTTAAATCAAAACATGATCACCAGTCAAACTAGTGACATCTAAACCCAATACATTAGTGTGACTTCTAAAATAAAAAATTGAAATGAAACTAAATTTATTATAGCTCTGCCTTCCTTAAACACCATGTGCTGGTGATTGAAACACAAAGAAACGCTAGTATTCTTCAAAAGTGTCTACTAAATATAATAAAAAGAATAAGCGAACAATTAACATTTAGTCTGTTACATTAAAAAATTGGATGTACGGATTTCTAGTGCCTGTTAGCTTTACCTAAGCCTTTTCAACTACTACAAAAGTAAAGAGAAGGAGAAAAAAAAAAGAGAGAGAACTCATTGTTCAAAGTCAAAAAACATTCAGATCAGTTGATACAACGTTACGGTACAGTCAACTACCATCACTCGAGGTCTCCTTTTCTCGGGGCACGAGTCCTTAGCCCGGCGTTACAAACCAACGTCACTGCAGTTTCAAAACTGTGGGTTGGCATCACGAGATCCTGCACTGCTGATGGCTTCCCAACAACGGCGTTGTGCTGCTTCCGAATCCCGGGGTCACCCCAGCCTCTCCTTAATTTTATTCAGCACTGTAGTTAGAACAGCGTTAAGTTTAGCACGATAACTAAAAAAAAAAAAAAAATAAAAAGAAGAAAAAGGAAAGAAAAATAAAAAAGGATAAAAAAAGAACTGGAAGCTAGGTGAAGCTGCCATTTGTGTCAAACAATTGCGATACGCTATACTAAAAAATTCTGAAATATCCACCTGTCCTCGCCGCTCTGCCACAAACTAGCAAAGTCAAAAATACAAAAGTCTTCAACTTCTCGTTTTTGCAGAATAAAGCAAAAAAGTCTTTGTGCTCCTTACTACCAGAAGCAAAATATCCTCTGAGTTTACCACATGTAATAGCTTCTGGATGTGTCGACTTGGGTTGGCTTGGTTTCTGCAGAACCATCCTTGTCTTTTTCACTGTCACCTTCCCAGAGATTAATAAGTGGAGGGTAGAGCTCGTTCAGCGGGATCGAAGAGGTCTTTTGCATATATTTTTTCAACGAGTGGTGGTAGTTTTTCCTCTTAAACCTTTTTGCGATATAAACAGAGATGGAGGCGAGGCTGATGACAGCAAACATGGAGCCCATCACCGCTGCCAGGGCGGTGCTGGTTTCTTGGTCGGAGATATCGAGCGCAAAAGCCGCGTTTTTGGTTGTGACGTTGACGCAGGACCTCTGTGTTTGCTGATGGATGTTGGACACGGTCAGGCACACCTCGTAGTCTGTCGACGGTTGTAAGTGCGTGAGGTTGTATTCGTGGACGTCGACCGGGACCCTGGCGGTGTACGTGATGTGAGGGTTGTCGATCTTCATAGTGGCCGATGACCATTTTAAATTGGAAGTCATGACGTTGGAATTCACCTTCCAAGAAACCAAGATGGAATGCGATTCGGCTTGCTTGACGTAGATTTTCAGAACCTGGGTACCGTCCAGAAGCGTTCCGTTCACCCGGATAGTGGCCACCCTCGTGTCGGCCCCTTCGATGTTTTGAGCAACGCAGGTGTACCTCCCGGAGTCTTCGACCTGGATGTTAGAGATTTCCAAGGTGCCTTCGCTACTCAGCTTGTATTTGTCAGAGAGGCTTTCCACGGTTACTTTATTGCCGAGGGGAGTGACCCAGTAAATTTCTGGCTCGGGTTCTGCCATGGCCCGACAATCTAAAAAGACGGTCATGCCGATCTCCAAGTTCAAGTGATTCGGAAAGGTCTCGTGAGAGATCATTGGAAGACACTGTTCGTTTGAGTCCTGGATTAACACTTCCTTCACCTGCTGCCCGCTGTATTCCGGAGGCATCGCGCAAAACATGGAGAGAGGCTCCATGAAACGGATGTTGGTTTTGTTGGAGTTGATCCAGTGAATGACACAGTCGCACCTGAGCGGGTTACTGTGGATGCTGATCTCGCGCAGGTTTGGAAGGGATTCCACCGTCTTTTGGTAGACTGCATTCAAGGCGTTGTTGTTCAGCATCAAGCTCTCCAAGGCAGGAACGTTGCGGAACGCCAGGCGGTGGATGTAGGAGAGCTTGGGGTTGTTGGTGGCTTCGAGCTTCGTGAGCTCGGGCAGGTTGTCCAGCGCATACCTATCGACAGAAACAAGTTCTCCCATATTATTGATCCCGAGCTCTTTCAATCGGAGCATGTTTCTAAAATCACCTTCTTGAATTTTATGAATCGGGTTTTTGTTCAGATCCAGGAATTTTAAATTTGGAACTTTCTCAAGTGCCAGCTGAGGAACTTTAACCAATTTGTTGTCATAGAAGGAAAGACTTTCAAGGCTATCCAAGCCTACCAAGGCATTGCCAGGAATGTCTGTGAGATACATACCTGCCAAAACTAGACTCCTTAAATTTGAGAGGGGTTTGAAATTCATATCTAGTATTCCAATCACGGGATTTTCTCCAATCATGAGAATCTCCAGGTTCGGAGTAGAATCAAACCAGCGGCTGTCGATAACCTTTAATTTGTTGGAGTTCAGATGTAATCTCAAAAGGTTCTTGAGGCCAGAGAACGCGTTTGCGGAGATGCTGCTGATCTGGTTGTGGTTTATATACAGCTCCTGAAGATTGCAAAGGTCTTGCAAGCAGTAGTCGGTCATCTCCGTGATCTGGTTCTCCTCCAGGTGCAATGTAGTCAGTTGAGTGAGGTTTGAGAGCCCCACATCTTTGATACTTGTGAAGTTATTTTGTGAAAAATCCAATTCGGTTAAATTAAACAGCTGTTGGAGCTCATCTGTGGTCTTTGCAATGTTGTTGCTTTGTAACAGGAGGACTTGAGTGTCACTGGAGAGATTGCTGGGGATTTTTGTTAATCGAAGGTCGTTGCAGTCAACTGTTGTGGCTTCCCTGTACGTTGACTGTGGTGTAAACCATGGCCTGATTTCGCAGACGCAAAGCTGCGGACATTCGTTACTCTGTACGGAAGACTCAGTTAATGAATTCGTTAACAATTCTAGCACCACCTGGCAAACAGTTAAAACAAGTCTGACCTTTGCCATGCTGCTCAGCAGAGTGAGTTCAGCTCCCCAGCTCCTTAAAACACCAACAGATGGAGAGGGTCGCCTGTTCGCAGGCAGCAAACGTAAAGCTTAAAGTTTAAGGTGAAAGGCTTGGACATCTAGAAGGTGAAAGATGATTTTTCTGAGTTTAGAGAAGACAAGAAATGGTCTGAAGACTCTCAGCTGTTCCACTTATGTTCCAGAATCTTCTGCAAATCGGTGTCTGAAGATGTTCCTGAAAATAGATGAGGGTATACGTTATGCTCATCTCACATACACTTAATGTATTATTTAATTTCTTCATCCTTTAAAGAAAAATATCTAAGAGCAATCATTAGTTTAACATTCACCCCTCTTACGAAAACCCTGAGCTGGCACACTTAAGTTCTGTAGGGTTTGGGATTTACGTGAGAAAACTCTGATAGTTCCCCAGGGAGCGACTGTAGCGATGTACGCAATCCTCTGAAAAGACAACTTTCGGTTTTACTCCGCAGCATTTGCTGGGGTGGCTTGAGGAATGCTGAGCACGGAGGGTACGCTGGCGAGCGGGAACCCGGGGGGAGTCAGGGAGCTGGCTCTGACGCCGGGACTAAGGCTCAGGGAGATGCTGCTTTATAAGTTTCAAGCTAAACGCACACGGACTTTGCCAAAATTCATCCGCGTTAATCAAATCGGTTCCAGATAACAGCTTAGATTTAATCCAGCTAAGCGCCAAACAATAACAGCAAATTTGATTAAATGACTGTACTGTCCTTATTGTAGCTGGTCATCCTGCCCTGTGCATCCCATGTTGAACTGGTCACCACAATTCCAAGTTGCTTTGTAAATCACACAATTTGCATCTTTCTTTTTAGCCTGAAGGTATTTGTACAAGAGTATGTTTAGATTAACCTATCGGTGTCCAGCGTACCTCAGAAAATCTGCTGTGTCTTTCCACACATATTCAAGGAAAATCTAAGCTCTTAGTAAAGTCTTTGCCCCCCTCACTTTATTGAAGGAGGAAGGGCTGAAAGAGAAGAGCTCCTGTCACCCAAGGTGAAGTTGTAAGTCTCAGGCTGTAAGGATTGCAGCTGAGATTTCGCAGACTGAAGTTTTGTCCTTTTATGTATCTTAAAATATTTGAGTTGCGCTATATCTGAGACAGAGTACACAACAACGGTAAACTCAAATCAGAAAGCAGGAAAGAGCAGCTTTCTCAATTAGATCAGTGAAGCCTCAACCTAGTCAAAGCCTAGATATTACTATATAAAGATATTACTACAGAAACCAATAAAACTAAGTACAGCTTTTAAAAATAGTAATCTAGATACTGGTGACAGAAATGCCATTTATACCAGGCCTTTACTTCAAAATCTGGTGAAATTACAATATTTTATTTCAGATTATGATATAATGCTATCAGTAGAACACACCAAATAGTTTGGGTGGGGTTTGGGTTTTTTTTTGCATGCTGTTATTTATTCTGTGGTTGTATTTTGGAGGAAAGAAAACAGGAATGTTAGGCAGAAAGCATTTGACCCTGTTGGGTTAGATTTTCTCTCTGGTAGCCGAGAGCTGAATGAGAGCTGAGAAGACTGTGCTGGATGGGGAGAGACCAGATGTAGAACAAAAATGTCTTCTCAAATAACTTTGAACGGATGGAAGAACTGAATAAGATGTTAACTGCATTAACCAAAGTAAATCCTAACGGCACCATAATAGTTAGAAATAGATTAACGCAGAGTGACGAGGGGGCTGCCGTGAGCCGAGCGATGCTGACTTTAATGGATGCTGCTCTCAGCAACAACCCAAACTAGACAGTTCTAGGAATGTTGACGACGTCCGAAGTTTAACTGATTTAATTCCAGATTTTTCAAGTGATGGTATTTGCCAGTTAGTAATGCAGGCACCGATTTCACCCGGTAGAATTCCAGATGGAGGGAGATGCCTCTGGTCCAGCTTGGTGGCCGTGGCTCAGTTGCGTTGGTGGTTGGACTAGATGATCTCAGAGGTCTTTTCCAACCTTAACGATTCTACGATTCTGTGACGAGCACAACCCAGAGCAACAGCTGGCATCAAACCAGACGACTCTGCAGGAGATCCTGCTCCCAACATTCAGAGTCCCTCCTCTAACTTTTTTCTAAGCAGGTGAAGAGAAAGCAGCCTGTGCCTTACAAAGCTGCGGCCATAGTGATGTTTTAGTACCGATTTAGCACCTGTGTAGTTCTGCGAGTCAGGTAATACCTGAAAAGTGAAACTGCCTGAAAGACACTTCAAAGCTTCTTTTAAAATGCGTTGGAGCACACCTAGATTTTGGGGAAAAAAAAAAGGAAGTTCAAATTCGATCCTTCCTTTGTTGAATATTTATATCCTCTTACTTGAACATTACATTTATTGTTCATCCTTGGTAAGAAGGCATTTCTGGGTTTATTGAATAGAGTTCTGGGTTTATGATCGCTGTAGACGTACGATTTTACAAGTTACTAGTCACACTTTCTCTTCTTTAGCTACTTTCTACTGCAAATGGATTTAAATTTGCTTTAAGTGGAAAATGGTCTTTAGAAATGACCCACGTGTGACTGTCTCCAATCTCCTCCAGCCCAGGGCACCTTGGAGGAAGCCAGAAATGAAAATCCAGTGTAATCAAAAAGTAAATTGTGATCAGCTCCGCCTGTCCCAGTGTGGTTTGGTGCTGTGTGTGTGTGGATGGCAGCCGAGAGGCTCCAGCAGGAGGGAAACATCCAGGCATTGACTTCTCCTTTAGCTGCTGCTCATCCTTTCCAGTCTTCCCAGTGTTGGCAGGACGGGTCCCAGGCACCTCTCTGACACTTCGTGTCCAAAGGAATATAATAACACAATGATTTTTTCTGCTGGAAGACTGTTTTCTCAACTTTTTTTCAGCTTCTCAAGTCCCATCTAGAGTTACAATCACATCTTTCCAAATAAAAACGAGACAAGATATGTATGTCGGAGTTTTTTTTTTTTTTTGGTGGGTAAGCTGGAGGACAACCAGGTTTTGAAAAGAAAACCTGTGTCAGTACGTGGTTCCAAATAACCACCAAGCCCCTGTGGCTAAACCAGGGATGGCTCCTGGGAAAGTGCCCAACTCTCACTGGAATCAGTGAGTGGGAATTGAGAAGAATTTGCGTGTTGGTGTGCGCCCCTTTCCTGGAGGACATCTCGGCATTTTGCCCAGTGACATCCTTTTGGTATCCAATTGTTAGTTCATATAATATTTAAAACTAACACATCCCTGGGAGCTGAGCACAGTCCAAGCAAAAGGCAAGTGAGGGATCAGTTCAAAAGGTTTTGGCTTTTGAAGGCCAGGGAATGATTCTTAAAGAAACATCAGTTTCGGAACAGAGGCAGAGCAACAGCTCCGGGCTTTCTGGATTAAGTGAGAGTATCAGTCCTCAAAACCTCCCTTAGGATAGAGTCGTATCATTAAATTACGTTTTTTTCCCTGAAAACAGCATTTAATATAGGTCACGTGATTGACACTTTGGTGATCCAAAGAAAAGTACATTTAAGTCCACAACGCAGTAGGAGAAGAACGTGAAGGGACAATCGTGAACTTAACTGATCATTAAAACTGTTCGCAACTAACTTGCCAACAAGAAAAAACAGATATTAAATATTTTTTCTTGATAATAGGAAGACAAAGTGTTGTTGCTTCCTTGACAATTGTATGGATGGTCACGATTAAAAATTGCAGAAAAAAGAAACAACAGAGGTTGCATATGGCTATTTGGATGTCTGTTTTGAAACAGTGATATTACCACAGAAAATCTTCTCTCTCCTCTGCTAAGTGGTTCATTCTTGCAACATTTCTTTTATATTGCAGGTAGCGCCAGCACAGATTTGGGTTGGCAGCCATAGGTACTGAATGTGCCTAGGTAAAAGCTTGAGGTATCAAACAGACGAGGAAAATTACTTCAGGCTAAGACTAGCAATTTATTTTGCACTTGCTGTGAGCCAGAAGCGCCCGCTGGTGCGCAGACCTCCCCGTCTCTCCACAGAAACATTTCCATATCTTGAGCCTAAGTAACGGAGCTAGTCTGTCGGAAAATTGTCTCTTGTGCTAATGTTCTGCTAATGACTCGTGCAGCTTCCTTGTTTCCCCATCATCATAGTTTGTGAAACCACTGCCATATAAACACCCTTCCTCATCAGTCAGTTCGGGGAAGACTCATCCGGAGCATCCTTGGATTCAGGTGGGTCGTGAGGAAAACAAACGTTAGGTGGCACGCAGCGCCCGCGGAGTTGGAGCTCCAGGGATGTGGAGCATCTGCAGGGACCTGGTGAAGCTTAGCTAGAATAGAGCGACTGGGAAATCCAAATTCAGGCTGGGATCAGTACAAAGGAAAAGGAAAAGCCTGTTCAGACAGAGCACGCTTAAAGATGTTGGCAAAGATCTAGCCCGAAGAACTACTTCAGCCAGAAGCAACCCTGGAGATGAACTGGCCCGTAATGAGCTCAGGTCGAGTTCATTACAGTCAGGTTCAGACGGTTTGACAAGTCTAAGGAAAGGTGAAAAGCGACTCGCCTTGCTTGGAGCTTCCGTAGGGTCTTTGCCCTTTTATGTCACAGAATCACAGAATCACAGAATGTTCGGGGTTGGAAGGGACCTCTGAAGATCATCTAGTCCAACCTTCATCCCAGCACACCCAACCACTACACCACAGCCTCAAGTGCTAGATCTACTGTTTTTTTAAACACCTCCAGGGTTGGTG